AAAAAAAGGAAAAAAGAAGAATACAATTTCTACACGAATTTTATAATAAACGAGATGCTGTCAGCCAGTAGCAGTCCTATAAAGCATATTCGATGGCAGTTAAAATATCCCCGTTGGAAAGGACTTAAAAGTATGATACACGGGGAATGTAGTTCTGTAGGAGGGCACACGATTTGAAATACGTGGCGCTTTCCCGAGCGGAGCTGCCCCTTCCCGGCCGAATATCGTGGGCGAGAATACGAGAACTCGCGTCGATGGAGAGCTCAGAAGTTACCCAAGAGCCAAGAATATTACGTACACGCGCGACTTCCGCGTTGCAGGTTGATCAACGCAGCGACCGGCCAGCGTAGCGCGCTCTCCTCTTCTCTCTCGCTCTCTCTCTTTCTCTATTTCTTTTCTGTCTCGTTCCATCGCATTGCCGCCGACGACGGCTGAGAACGATGGCGATGGCTCAATCGCGGTGTCCTCTTGCTAAATTGAAATACCTTGCCTTCGGGCGCGCACTTAAAGTACATACTACGCGAGGCGAACCCGGAGATCTCTCCTCCGCGCGGCCTCAAACGCGCGCTAAAAAGTCCACACGACTCAGAATCCCTCCGGCTTCCAGTTGGCTTGAACTCGCGCGGCAAGAGATCGTAACAGATCGATAATAAATGCGGGGCTTGGCGTAACGCGTGTCTGAGACACGCAGCGCGAATTTCACACACAGCGCCGATGGAAAAAGATCCGTAAATCTTTTGCAACGTTTAATGTCCTATCCCGTCGCTCTCTTTTGAGAGAAAGACTCCGAGGCCTCGGTCTTTGATCCTCTCGGTGGTATCTAGGTGGGCTCTTTGTGTCCCGGCATATACGCCCACCGGCTATTGAATGATTCTTTTCATATTTAAAGCTAAGTAAATTAGATCAAGAGAGAGAGCGAGCGAGAGAGAGAGAGAGAGAGAGAAACCTAGATATATATGCGTATACACGACTCGAAGACAATAGATAGATCGGTCTTTCTGTGACTAATTCTCTCAATTGCGAATGCCTCTTTCTTTCAGAACGCGGCTGCGCTTGGAGAGCCTCGAGGACGCGGTGATCGTGGAGAATGACGACGACAAGCTGACCGATCGGCGCGGCTGTCCGGCGTATGTCGCGCCGGAAGTGCTGCGCTCCGGACGCGCCTATTCCGGCAAGGCGGCAGACATCTGGTCGCTGGGCGTGCTGCTCTACACGATGCTGGTGGGCCGTTATCCGTTCAACGACGCCGAGCACGCGTCCCTCTTCGCCAAGATCTCGCGCGGCCTGTTCGCCGTGCCGGAGGGCCTGAGTCCGCGTGCCAAGTGCCTGATCCGCTCCCTGCTGCGGAAAGAGCCGTCCGAGCGACCGTACGCCGACGACGTGCCGCTGCACCCGTGGCTGTCGAAGCCGCTGCGGTTGTACACGCCCACGTCCGGCAGCAGGTCCTCGTGCCAGGACCAAATCGTACCAGAGCTACCTATTAATCCTCAACAAGACTGACTCTCTCTCTCTTTCGGGGGAAGAATCATTATTCCGCGCGTGACGGCATCATTCTCTCTCATTCTAGTGCTTCTCTCGCGCCGACAGCCGGATCGGAGTCCTCGAGCCGAGGAGGGGGGGGGGGAGTTAGCGCAATCAAAAGAAGAAAAGGGACAAAATGGACTTTCGTTCTTTTAACACATTGACTGTGCCCGTAGAGAAGAACAGCGGATAAGATTGGTGGCGAAAAAGTGGCGAAAAATTGTCCTATGTATATGTCCTGAAAATCCGGAAAAGATGAAATAAAATTATTATCAAAAGATGACCAATGTTCAATAAAAGATTCTTAAGATATTTAAAGAGATTCGTAAAGTGACCGACAGTCAATGTGTTAATGGCAGCTGAATTGTAGCTTTGTAAGTTCGAATCGCGCAGTCTCCGACTTGAATCGACAAGTCGAATCGATTCTCGCGTCGCGGAGACTCTGCACGGCTAAGGATGCTGAGTCCTCCTCTTTTCATTGGCGAAGGACGGCCTAGAATAAGCTTCGGGAACAGAGCGTGCGATTAAGACACGAGACGCGAATAATTGTTCCCAATGGAACTTTTACATTTATTAGGAGGAGAGTAACCAAAGTCTCTATCCTAATTGCAATACCCTGAATTATTTTCTCGTTTAAACGTTGCAATTTGCGAGTTGAATTGGTCAAAGTTGAAACCTTGAGAAACGTGATATTATATCTCATTATATAAGAATAAGCTCGCTCTAGTCTAGAGATAACTCGCGGTTGAAGCACCGAAACAGCGAAAATAATTACGGGTATTCTCTGTAAAATAGCGTCCCGATTTTGGTCATTCTCCGCTGGCAATTTCGGAGGCAACGTGACGCAAGTGATTATAAAAAAAAAAAATTTCTATCGGCTATACAGAATCCTAGATTCGTGGAACATTGCCATTATCGGTCCAAGAAATCGTTCGCCTTGTTGCTTACAGATATATTCGTGCGCAAATGCGCGTGTGCGCGAATCCCTTTGTGATAGAATCTTGACAGATTCTGAGCGACATATGTGATACGAATTATACAGGTTGTTTCATAAGCGTTACTTGCGGTTACTTGCGGTTACTTGCGGTCATTTGTCTCTGAAGTCCATGTACATTAATTACTATCGTAAAAGATCGAATTCGATGTTTGTATCGTGCGTTGATACCCGAATACATCCTCGATTTTCTCATTATTTCGCGTTGCGCATCTTACTTGGGAAACTTTTAGCGCACTGGTTTTTACCAGCGAATCCGCTGTATACACGAGTAAACAGTTAATGTAAATACGAAGAAGGAAACGTAATATAAATCCGAGTACAACCGGTGAGCTTTGTATAGTGTAGTGTATAGTATAAAAGCGATGAATATATACATATATGTATAAATGAGATCGGGGATTGAATCGGATATACAAAGTTAAAAACTCACGCAGTCACGAGAGAAATCGTAATGATTCAGCGATAGATAGCAAATTGCTTAACGACGACCAAACGTTACTGGTCGAACGAATCTAACGAATGAGTTTCTAATATAAAATCCGACTCACTCTTCCTGCATATCCGTTTACCCTGTCATCATTATATCACGGAGTCAATCAAACATATTAGACCGACATCGAAAGAAGGGATATTTCTCGTTGGAACGCGCGACAAAACTTCATTCTCCGACCTAAAAACATTGCCTGTAAAAGTTCAAGACTGCTTGGACGTGTGTGGCCTATACGATTATCTTTATTAGAGAAAAACGCAAATATATTGAATTTCTAACGTAAGAACAATAAAAGAATACGCTTCTGGATCACTCAAACGACAGAGTATCCATGAATATATAAATATATAAATGTGTTCATCGTGATGGCAGTGTTTTTAGGTAGAGTACTCTCTAGTGAATCAAAGACAAGAATTACTCTCTTCTGACTCAGACCTCCAAAATCATCGCTTGCGATATATATATATATATATATATATATATATGTGTGTACGGCTCACCACATGTAAAATCAATTCGATTTTTAAAAGCGAACGAATTTTGTATCAGTTTGGCACATGAGGTTGCGTATCTCGTTTTGAGGATTTTTTTTCTCTGGAATAAAACTCTTCGAAATCGACATAGAATTACAAATGGACTACCTTCAGTAGACGTTCTTATCGTCACGAGTCAATTACAAGAATAAAATTGCAAAGCGGACATTGAGACATTCTCATTTGCATCAATGCCAGCTAGCGTGACATTTTCAAGTTTTTTTTTCCTGTTTCTATAGCGATGGATTCAGTCATGCTGTGGCTACATCAGTATCGGTGTTAAATAAAGAGATACCGACACCGCGGTCGTCAGTAGACGTGCCCAGAATAGCACCTCCTGAAATGTTTTCCGGAGAGTCGAGACTAAGTTTAAAGCCAAGCAACCGATTCAAACCATCTTTTCGCGTAGACTAGATTAACTGAAACTGGGTTTTTCGATTCTTTTTAAACGATAAAATGTTTGCATGAGAAAAAATAGCGATTTATAAGATTTGTAAGATTTATAAATTTCATCAAATGATTTCGGAGTGTCAAACGAAATTTTTATTTACATATTGTAAAAAAATGTTAATTTCTTAGTCTGAAGACAATTCATGGAACATCGGTTAAGAAACATAATAATTAAACATAATAATAATTTTCTGGATGTGAAAAATCAGCTCGGATTATTGATGCAAAGTTCAGCCTCGATGCGAAGCTCGGATCGAATCCGCGTCGAACGACAACGACGACGACGACAACAAAGCATTTCTCGCTCATAGAGCTTTTGGTTTCAGGATTGAAGAAGGAAAGCCTAGGGGATGACGGAATTCTCGATCGGGATCGCGACTCGATCCTCACCGTTTGACGAAAGTACCATGTGTTCTTGTATTTAAAGATACCTGTCTACCTACCTACCTATGCGAACTCTTTTGTAACTTCCGCGAGAGTGAAGAGAGAGAAAGAGAGAGAGAGAGAGAGACTCCTCTTTTCCTTTTTATTTTATAATATTCGCGCGTCGCAATGGGGCACGGTTACCCCAGATGCAACTCTATGATTCCTTCTCGTATCGTTCTCAGTCAGGGTACAAAACGCCGTCGCGCATCCATCGACGTTTAATTTGTATTGTACATAAGTTCGACGCGATTAAATCCTATTATATTCAACCATTGTCTAGGTGCGATTAAGGGAATTTCGTTTCTGTATATAGACAAAATAAAATGGCGTTTACGACGAAGCCGTCTGCAATTTCTCTGGCTAGCATCTTGTTCAGCAGATTCGACTAACAGGTTGAATGCCGTGCCGATCAGATTCAATACGATGAAAACTGAACGAAACTGAATAACAATATTTATAATTATATAAAATTGTAAAAAAGAAAAAATTAATGCAGTATAAGATTTTCTCCTCTAACTTTCCTGTAATTTTGTAAATTTGTATATTTTGCGTAGGATGTGTTCTAAGAAGAAGAAAAGCGTCCCTCAGATTCCAAAATGTTAGATTTAACTTCGATCTATATAAAAGAATAAAAAAGATATACATTTTGAATCGCAAACTATTATCTAATTTAAAATATACAATAAAATAATTTGTATTTTTAATTAAAGCATATTTAGCCATAAATTATCATTAAATTATCATTTTCTACCAACTCAACATCAAAAAGCTTTGAAATTAAAAAAAAAAGGGAAACTTGAGTGACAATTTTCCTTCTTAGAAATATATTTTGCGCATGAAAACATACAAACTTACAAAATTGCAGGAAAGTCAGGGAAGAGAGCTTTTGTCAAATTAATTATCAACTTAATACTCTAAATGAAGAAGTAGGTACACATATGAACATATAAATATTTTTGTTTTTAATTATGAAAAATTAAACAGATATATACATGGAGAAAGAAATGAAATAGATCTGGCATTCAACTATATCATGTCCGATAAAA